CAAATTTACGATGGTTTAGCGTGGTATGTCCTCTTATTTACCACGATATGACGCCAAACGTTGGTCAAAATTAGTTATGGACCCACTCGGCTTACGCCTCGTGAGTCCATAACATTTTGACCAACTTTTGACGTCATATCGTGGTAAATAAGAGGACATACCACGCTCAACCATCGTAAATTTGTTAAATCTGTCGAAGCTGTTGTGGAATCTAACCCGATCTCCGAGAGAACTCCCTTCATGTAGTGGTTTGGTAAACGAAATTCAGTAAGTAAAAATTCAGTAAATCTCCCTCTTGAGAATAGTATTGAAGGTAAATTAATGTCTCTTGCTATGTGTTTTAATAAGTTGTATACGAGCGTGAAATTTACGATTCCCAGACATTGGTATTCACAATTATTTCACAATGTATTTAAGTAGAAACAAATGTTTAATACTCATTGTGTATATATAATACTAAAACTACAACATTTTATTTTATTTATTAATTTTACAACTAGCTAATTGAAACTAGAGTACAAACACAAAAAGTGTGCAACACTTTGCAGTATTTAGTAGTAAATAGTGCTAATTAAACAATAGAAAACGATAGGATTAGCATAATTTAGCAGTATTTATTGGTATTTATGTTACACATTTAAAGTGATTGTACTCTAAGAGAGACCAGCCTAACGAAAATTCACACTAATATTTAAATTTCAGTGGGAATTGATAAAGAATGCCAAACACCAATTATTCAAGAAGTGACAGAAACTGGATGTCAAACAACACTGACTATAGCAGACATTGAAAGTCTAGAGCTTTTCATAAGAACTACAACTCTGGAGCTGCAAAGCTTAAAGGAAAAACTGTTAGATGCAGACTTGACCATGAACGGTTTGAGACACAATGACGAAAAAAACAAATATTACACTGGGGTGCCAAGATTTGAGCTTTTAATGCATGTCTTTAGCTTTGTTTCTGTGTATGTGATAACAACCAAACGTAATGCCCTGTTTCAAGAATTTATCCTAGTATTAATGAGAGTCAAACTTAATATGCCGTTACAAGACCTGGCATACAGGTTTAGCATTTCTGCGGCCACTGCTAGCCGGATATTTCATAGGTGGTTGGACTATGTACTAAGTGTTCGTTTAGATTTTTTTAATTCATTGGCCAGACCGTGAAGATCTTAGGAGTACTATGCCTAAGGTCTTTCAAAAGTCGTTTGTATGCCTTCATTGCATTCATAGTTGTCCAAGATGTCTGTAGCACGAGGTAGTTTACTATGTCAGGATAAGTTACGGCCGGTAGAAGGCTGAAATCCTTTTGAAATTTTTTACCTTGAATGGATCGAAACCAACAAACAGCCTTATCTCAATAGCGAGCCTTTGAAACACTATCTAGAGTAATTATAAGCCAGTAGTCATCCAATTCAATGTTATCGCTCGAAGTACATGACGCTGTTGCCATCTTTGTATCTCTGTATATCTTCCAACATGGCCGCCGGTAGTTGATTACACAATTTTTGATCATGTGACACGTCTGTTGTCAGTTCAGTTGTTCCCTAAATGAGGGGACCATTATTCTTTTTTATCCTTGTTTTCAAACAAGATGAACACACAGAGCATTGCCAGAAACTTTGCTCTTGAAAGACAATGTCTGGAATTTGTTCGCATGAACAGTGAAACCATTTACCACATGTGTCACATGAAATTATTTGTGTGTCTTTTCTTCTTTCATCCATCTCATCCCAAGGCATGCGGCAAGTACAGAAAAGTTGGATTTGTAGTTTTCTTTCCTTGCACCTTCTAACTCTCAATCCTTGGTCTTCAGGAAAGGGAGTCACATAGCCATTCAAAATGCAGGTAAGTAAATGTTCACGAAGTTTGTTGTTTCTGTAGGTTCGTGTTGCGGGGTCACCACCATGTAGTAGAGAGGTCAGGAAAGCAATGGAAAATACTCCACAATCAGTACCATTTTGTTGCTGTTGGACTGACTTTATGTTAATAGTAATTTCTGGTCCTTCCTCATGTAGAATCGCAGCAACTTGTTTCTTAACATAGCTACTCACATTGCCATGGTTGGAACTGTCATATATATTAATTTCTCCTTTTTGACAACCAATGTTTGATGCACAAACCCAGTGTTGATGTCCAGTAAAGAGAATTTGGGCAAATTCACCATTACATATTGAGTACTGAAGAAAATTACCCAATGTGGTGTCTTCCAAACCCTGACAAGTGGAAAACTGACCATGGAGCAAGTTTTGTGTAATGTTAATCGATATGTCACTGAGCATTCTTCCACTTGCAATATCCTTTTCCTCCAACTCATCCATCTTTCTTTTTTTCCTCTTTTCTGTTTGCCTGGTTCCTTTTCTGACACCAATAATAAGTATGTCATCATCACCACTACTATCCATACCATCATTAAGTTCTGCAGCTTTTTCTTTCTCTTGTCCTTGTTCTAGTCTTCCTTCATGCCCTTCTTCCAGTCTCCCTTCTTGTCCTTTCTCTTGTCCTTCTTCATGTCCTTTCTCTTGTCCTTCTTCATGTCCTTTCTCTTGTCCTTCTTGTCCTTCTTCATGCCCTTTCTCTTGTCCTTCTTATCCTTTCTCTTGTCCTTCTTCATGTCCTTTCTTTTGTCCTTCTGTGGCTTTCATACCATGTCTTCTTGAATTCTTTTTGGGGGGTAGTGGGAGATTACATAATTCTTCTCTCTTCTGACCATAGCATTCTTCATTTTTCCTTTTCTGAGGCTTAGACCGTAAAGTTTCAACCTCTATACCATCTTCCTGGTGGATGTGAGCTCTTATTTCTCTTAGGGCTTTTGAGAGTTTGTCCTAGAAAGGTAGCATACCTTAATTGTGCAAGCAGACTGCGGCACAGCTGTGCAGCTTCGCTTCTGTGGTATTCTTTACAAAGTGGAAGAGGATTGTTTACCTCATCATCATTGACATTTGAAGCCTCAGATGCCTCATCAGAAGCTTCAGCTACATTAATCTTTACCTTATCTGGCTGGACCATGCTGCACAACGGCTGCAGTTCACTTGGGTCACTTAGTTGTTGTATGCCACTTGCCTATAAAATAAATCATAATAATATTCATTTAATGTTCCTTATATGCCAAGGCTTATAAGCAAATATTAAGCAGATATTCTTACATATTTTTTCAGGTGAAATTTGTCTTTTCAATGTTTTCCAATCTTAGCTCTACTTTTTAGGGTGCTCAGCAAGCCCTGTTGTAAAGTTTAAGTTTAATATTGATAAACTCACACACATTTTACAATTGGAGAGGTAACACATGAACAAGTTACATAATCATAATAGAAGTAAAATAGTATAATAATATAATAATAGTTTGGAAAGTATAATATAAGTCTGTGTGGTTGTTGAAAGATAAATTGTATAGGCTGCTCAGAACACCTTTTAAAATCAGGTATAAACACAGAAAAATTTCGCTAACCTCCCCAAGGATATAGTTTTTGTGACTGTCTTTGCTTGGGAAATTAATATAAATTCTGTGTTCTTTCAAAAGAGTAACGCCCTCGGCTTTGGCATTTCTTAGCTCGGAAGAACTGTGCTTTCATTTTCTTTGGGTGTTCTCAGAGATCTTGAATATAAATAGAAAGGCAGCAATTAAAAAAATACATTTGAAATGTTTGTGATATGACATGAACTGTTTGATATAAACTGTCTGATATACACTTATTTCAATAAAGTTAGTCACCTGAAAAGCTATAAAGCTGAGGCCGACAAGGATTATGGGTAGATTCATTTTACACGTTCAACTGCTTGATAACTGTTCATGGACTTGCGAATCTTTTACCATTTACAGTCTCACCTCTTCTGAGCATCATCAAGCTGCAGTTTGTATTAAAAAAGCTTTGTATACATATGCTTTTTTGATATGAAAGGCTTCTCATGATGCTCAGTGATCTCAGCTTTCTAGGTTTTTGATGACTAGTTTTATTGAAATAAGTGTATTTAATATATTGGTATCTTATTAAAAGATTCAGTCATTCAGAGAGTCATAATTACAATACTAGAAGGCGTATGACATTCATTTACATAAGATATCTTCAAAATCTGGTCAACGATCATTTTCCTTTGCTGTTGCTAGATTATATAACAATTTAAGTATATGTCGTCAAATTATCTAAATTTTCTTTTCGAAGTTTTACAACTAATTATTGACGAGAAAGAAATAATTATTTATTTTATTATATATTACTAATACATCACAAATCATAGATAATATATATATTAAGATTTTTTTACACCCAATAATTTTAGAATTTTTTAGGGATCTTCTTAGGAATTTTCTTTTCGTATTATTAGTGATTACTGATTAACTTTTCATTTCTAATTTATATTTGTACTTTTTTTCTTATACACAGCTTCAGTGTAAATAAGTGGTTAGCTTTCTGAATTCTGTGTGAAAAAAAGTTATTATTATCATTATTATTATTATTATTATAATGAATCTTGCCATTAGAGCCACGTATTATATATTTTGTTGTAAAAATAAGATTTACAACTGTATTTAAGAAAAAGAATAAAGTTTCCATTATTATTATTATTATTATTATTATTATTATTATTATTATTAAAAGATTGAATAAAATGCAGTTAATGGAAATGGTTTTGCATTTTATATACATCACCTCAACATCTTTATGGAGACCTTTCTTATAATTCCATCAAATAATCTGTACCCCTGTTTTTCTTAAAGTTGTTTACTTTGTACTCTGGGAAAAACACTGCTTCCTTCATGTTCAGTTTTGCTGGACAATCCAGTTTTTTTGAGTTTTGTGTATTAAGTTTCTTTCTTCTTGCATATCTATGCTCACTGCTTGATGCATTCTGTTAATATATGTTAAAATGCATAAATAATTATTTAAACTTTTAAGCCCCGTTTACACCGGCGATTTTTGCTGCGATTTTTGTGGCAATTTTCGGAAATATAAAATCTTTTGTTTCATCCTTCAAAAGAGACATTCGTCTAGGAAAATCTTGGTATCCTGAAAAAAACTTTACAAGTAAATTCTTTACCATTATTTATTATGGACAAAATCGCAAAAAAATCGCAGCAAAAATCGCTGCAAATATCGCTAGTGTAAACGGGGCTTTCAAGTGTACATGTATAACTGGTATGTGGCATTGATCTAGCTAAGCAAGACATAAAGTTCATAGTGACATTTTATATTGTGCAAAAAAACAATATAATATAGCTCTCTTTTAATATTTTAAATTTACATTACTCATCATCCCTATTCTTAAAACCCCAAAAGGATGGGTCTAATTGCCTAATCCCTCACCTTGACTCTTCCCTTCATGACTCTTTTACATGACTTTCATGGAAGTTAATAAGTATTTTTAAGATCGTCAAATACTACACAAAACATTTTTCTTCCATATACAGACATGTACCAATTAAAAACAACTAATTTTTTAAAATTATTTACCTTCACCGAACTCTTCTGGTATTTTATTTTGGCTCCAACATTTCGGTCTTTTCCATAGTGACATTCCATAAACTTCTCACCAACAACAAAACATGGCACCCCAGAAAATGGTATGCAGTCTTCATTTTGCCACAGAACTCTGTGGGGTCTTTCAAAGGGGTCTGTGTAGTGTCGGCTAATAGTTCGGGGTGCGGGGAAACAGGAAAAGAGAATTCATAGTTCGCTGGAATCGAGGACCTACTCTCCCAAAACTCAGAACTCTAGGCTTCAAGGTTGGAGAGATGCAATAACTCGGCAACTGATTCGAGTAGGGGTAACGGCGCTGCTGCGCTTGGGGTGTCTCCCTTCCAGTAATACCAATAAACATTTACTGAACAAGCTTAAGTTTTCACGTCCCCAGGCGAGGAGTGCTGAAGAAAATAGGAAGCCGGAATTAAAGGAAGGCGTAGAGAAAAGGTTTGCTAGTGAAGGGAAATAACCCCATGCGAAGCAGCCCAGAAATACCCCGTCCAGGGACAGAGTAATGAAGGGTATTAGATAACCCCATCGAGGCGGCTTAGCAGGGGGAAATGGGAGGGGACCCCAACCATGACAACACACGTGATCGCCGAATTTTGCCAAATAATAACGAGTATTTCGAGCGACCTCGCACGCCGCTGAACTTTTCCAAATACCTAACTAGCATTTTGAGCAACTTCACACGTCTTTGAACCTTTGCGAAATAATTAACGAGTGTTTTGAGCGACATAATACATCGTTCAACTTTACCAGACACCTAACCAGTATTTTGAGCCATCAACTTCACACGTGGCTGAACTTTGCCAAATCAATAACCAACGTTTAAACGTCTACATACGGTACTGAATAATGGCAAAAGCAACAACAATTAATTCGAAACCATGAGCGACTATAACCAATAAGGTAAAAATGCCATAGCTGCACGTTGAAGGAGCAACACAGACGAAAAGTATTACCTACTACTTCGGCGTGCCCACCAAAAGCGTCCTGAACGGCCTGTTGCAAGGGAACGGGATTCTGTGCTTCTTGGGCTGATGCCCAACTTGTAGTAGTTGATTCTGTGGTTGCGGTTTTGGCTGAGGTYGTTGATCCAGAGGCGGCGGGTCGGCCTGAAGAACAGCTTGTACGGTAGCCTGAACTGGCTGAGTTGGTACTTGGGACATTGGTTTTCTTCTTTCTCTGTACCTTTCATTAATGTGTCTTAGCTCGCAGCGATGAATGATGTGAAGAATTAAAAGTTTTTCCCCCTTACTTCTCGAGGAACGCAAACAAGCTAAAATGTGCGAGTCCAGAGAGAACGGGAACGTTTATATAAGAAGCAGGGTGAGAGGATGCATACCACGAGAACCCGAGACTCATGCAAATAAGCGTTGATGTGAAAAATCTCGTTATTTTGGGCTTTTCGTGCTCGAATTCCATAGTGAGAATAGTATGCTTATTTTCTCTTAGATATTACATCGACAGAAGGCGTCCTTCTGAAGCGCGTCAAAGAATGCGGAGTAGCCGGAGTTTTACAAAGATCACAACACTCAAAAGCACACCAAAGTAAGCTTATTTTCTCTTAGATATTACATCGACAAAAGGCGTCCGTCTGAAGCGTGTGAAGGAGTTCGGCCGGAGTTATACAAAGGTCGTAACGCTCAAAAGGACACTTGGCAATTTTCAAAAGGAAATTTCAGTCGATTCCATTAACTGCCTTCCTTTTTGCCATCTAGTTTCCCGAAGTATCTATCAATAGGAATTTTGAGGAGGAAATAAACATAAAATCACAAGAGTGTCGTTCAGTATATATAAGAAATAGAAAACGCACCCGCGTGCTTTGTGCAGTTATAAAGCACACAGGGGTTGGTAGAACACAAGAGAAATGTTAAGAGAAGCACGATGCGTAGCGGAGTGTTTATCGATATTTCTCGAGTGTTCTGTCAATCCCCAAGTGCTTAATAACTCCACGACAGCACAGCATGCAAGTTTTTCAATTCTTTTACAAAATACAAGTTACATAAATGATGAAGGGTGTAAGAGCTTGTTTAACCTCTGAGGTTGTTCTCTTGCACCCCCCACAATATTTGTAACTTATTCAATTTATGTATGTATATATATATTTTTTTTTGTGGAAATAAAAAACTGTTGTAACTGTTGTTGAAACTGAAAGTGCGCCTGCGTGCTGTGTGCTCTCATAAAGCACGCGCTCCCAACCAATCAGAACGCGAGATTTAGAGCAGTTATTTTATAAAGTATATATTGAACCACGGGTTACTTGGTCGTTGTCATCATAAAGGACCGTTTGGGACTTGATTCGAATCATAATATGCTAATTATTTGACATATTAATCGGTCGTTCTTTTGAAGCGTGTGAACTAGTGGTAGCCTAATCAGTCCCTAACGATAGAATAATACGTCACGTGACTTAATGATATTGGCTCATAATTGAATATTTGAATTTTAAAAAAATGTTTTAATTCAATTAAATATCTTTTTCATATTAAAAGCTTTTAAAGTGTTTTCCTGGATTCAAACGTTCTTTTTTATATTTTTTAAAGAATACAACATCTTATCTGAATACGAACACCACCGACGAGAGAGAAAAAAAATCGATTCAATTTGCCATACCCCCGAGACATCCGCAGAGCTGAGGCGTCGTATGGACTTCGGACCTGACGGCGATTAAATCCTTCTGCCCTTGGGTGYACGAATTACGCAAGAAAATGTTCTAGCCGAAGCATCAGGGGAGAGACCAGCCGGCCCCCAGACCATATCGGCTAATCCCTTGCATCTCTGCCACGCACGGAATCGGTTGAAATGATATTGTCAAAAAGGCTAGTCTATCTAGTGCATTGTTTTTATGGCTATTGTTATGCTGATTCACCTGGAACCGTGGCCCAGTGGAAAAATCTTTGGCTCTCACATGACATTGAGTTAAGTCCGGTTGGGCGAAGCAGCGCCTGGATGGGTGACCTGAAACTTAAGCCTAATTATCTTTTGCTCATGATTTGCAATTTTAATATTCTTATCCATTTTCTTTTTCCTACTTTTTCATTTTCCTCTTTTCGTCTTTCTCTTATTCTAACTTTTCTTTCTTGTTTTCCAAGTTCTGATAAGAAGGGTGGGGTGGGTAAGTGATATTGTACCTCTACCACGTGACACAAGGTGAGTGAAGCATGGAATGGCGGAGTTTTAATCACTGCTCGACATCTACAACCTTTTACTGAAGGAATTTAGCTTATTCCCGCATGAATACATTAGGTAAGACTCTTATCTTCTCCCATATTACTAACTAGCTCCTACTCTTGGTATTTGTGTTGTTTTTTGGTGTGTTTTATGGGATAAAAAGCTCGTAGCACAGACATATTTTGTGAATAGATCACTGGGTGTGAAAGTTGGTCAGCCATTGAAGGACGTAAACACAACCAAATCTTTCAAATAACGGGGCATAAAATAGCCCACTACTCTTTTATAGACCGTCAAGACTTTATAAAAGCATTTCAGGGATATAATTATAGTGGTAAGGAAGTTTTGAGTGGGGAAATTAGAGCGTAAACTTGCCGTAGTATGCACAACAATGAAGCAGAGGTGAGCATTGTACAAATTATAATACTGTACAGCAATAATCGTCTAAGTGTACTCAAATATCAACTCAAAAATAACTGAAAAACGATTCTTGAATATTTGAATTACGCCTTTATGGTTTGAATTGGTGTTATATTCGTGTTTTTTGATCCATGTAAATGCAATATAGGCTTCAAGTCCCACCTAAAGCGTGGGAATTTGATAACCGGATACTACGTTGATCTCTAACGGAAGTTGATGTAAACATTACATGTAGAGAAAAGCTTTCTTCACCTCATTGAAAATCGTATTTTTTTAAACCTTGTGAGTTTTGCTTTGTTAAAAGAGATGTTTTATAACTTTCTTCACGATATGATTCCTTATATCTTATTATTTTATGCGTGGGAAATTAAATTTGTCATCGAAGAATTAAGAGATTTTGTTCCAATGTAAGTGGAATCTTTTGCTAAAGTGAAGTATTAGATTTAGATAGTTTTAAGGTCACACAAAAGCCAAAAGCAACAAGGTATTTTAAATACGAATATTTTGTCAGCCTTGAGGCAGAATGCATTGATTTTACGATTATTTAAGCAGAAGAAGAAAAGAAAAAAGAAATAAATAAATGATAGGTTTTCAAAAACTATAAATTTTTGGAAGTGTTTAGTAAAACGGAAATTATTTGACACTTAGTTGTGCTAGTTAGATAATCAAATTCTTGAGCCGTTTTTAATTCTACCTAATGATTTCTTTGTTTTTTATCCTTTTCAAACTTATATTGTCAACTTTTGATGAATAGTAGCTATATATCATGTTATTCTTAGGTCGTAGCCCAAGCCTGACAAATTATATTAGATTTATAGCTTTAAATATATATATTTTTATTACAGTTTCATGATAATGAGTAGATTCATAAGAGCAAATATAAACTCAATACCATCATGAAATAAAATAATACCATTCAGTTTTCAAGTTTTTTTTATACATAAATTGTGCCAATATTTAACAATTATTAAGTGATTATAGGTGGAATATTTACCGAGCCGCAAGACTTTGAGCAGCGAGGTGAATATCACCATAATCACTGAGCCTTAGGGGAATAATTGTTTTAGTATAATTTTAGACTTGAATATCAAAGAAAAGACAAAATTTGGGATAAAAATGTTTTAGTATTACTTTTGGTCTGGAAAACTTTGGAAAACCTCATAATAACTGCTATCCATAAGTGGATGTAGATTTGAAAGTGACAAATATAATTGAGGGTATCCAATATTTTTATTACACGGTTTCAACTAATTAGGTCAAATTTTTACACAAATTATTATATCTGATATTGAAGACATTAAGCAAGCTAATTATATCCAAATAGTTTTTTAGAAATCGTGCAATTCCAACAAAATATCCCTACTATAAATTTACTTAATTTTTTCGATAAGGAATCTTAACAATGGGTTAAAAAGCAAGTAACATGATAAATTAGGGATCCGTTGTGATGATAGCAAGATAAATTGATGATAGCATGATAAATTTGAGAAAGATAAACTTGCATATCAAAAGAATTCAAAATTTATCTTGAAAGAATCTCAGAAGAAGAATTCTCCTGTAGAGTAAGTGCCTAAGACTACACTTCAATTACATCATCAAAGATTGTAACTTTCTGGATTCGAGTGATAATATTGTAAATATCTTTTATTTTATTAAATTTCAACTCAAAATCTTTTTATTTGAGTAAATATTTAGGTTCAAATTATGAATGTTAGTGCTGATTGGTCTGTCCGTAATTTATGACCTGGAGATGCAACAACTGATAAACACATGAAAACTAATGCTTCGTTCATAATGTATGGCAGAGGGGAGGGGGGGGGGGGGGGCAGAAGAAAATTTGAAATGTCCAGAATAATTCTTAACACCCCCCTTAAAGTCATGCAAAAAAATATGATCCCCCTAAGCAAGGCTTCTTCCAAAAATTGTGCATCCCCCCTTTTTTCTGATAAAAATTTGTCCATCCCTCCCTTTTTCCTACCAAAATTTTCCCAATCCCCCCTCAATTTCACCTGCCCCCCTCTGGCATACATTATGAACGCAGCCTAACACACCTTGGTGATCTGAACTGATTGCTAAAAAAATAAGTTTTAATAAAGAGTGCATCACAAGAAATTTAAGATATTTCCATTAGTCCTCTTTGTTACTCTGAATCATATTATAATACATTAAACTACAATAGCATAGAAAGTGAACTGCAAAATGTGTTGAATGGATTTTTAAATTGATTTTCCAGGAAAATGAGTGTGAGTTTTGAAGGTACAGCGTCACATATGTTGGCCGGAAAGTAAGTATGACTGGTAGCCTAATATATCGCAATCGATTTATCAAAGTTAAACTTTGTTCACTTTTTTATGTTTACTTTTTTGAATCTGACACCATTTTTAGGTCTTTACTGCATTTAGGGCTTTTAGGTCTTTATTTATTGTGTTGTATTTTTATCTTGCAAACGTAATCAAAATTTTATAAGAGCCATGCATTCAATSAAAGCTATGCTATTTTATTTTGTATAGCATTTTAAATGAATCCATTCCAAAAGATGAAGCAGAACATTTACTTCAGGAACTTATCATTGATATGAGTAAGTAGAGCAGTGGACCAACAAGGCTACCATCAATCAGCATTGCCGTCATCTTCATCATCTTTATCATCATCATTATCATCTTCATCATCACCATCATCATCATCATCCATCATTTTCATCATCATCACCATCATCATCTTTATCATTATCATC